GAATTGAAGTGACTGTGAATATTTTGCTGTCATCTAGTGTGAAGAAAGATAACTATGACGTAGGCTGATGATGTTTCTATTTGCGTAAATATGTTAAATAAAAAATATATACCTTTTCTTATCATTTGTACTTTGTAGAAATACTACAATTTGTATTATACCTTGCGAAAATACTTCAGTTTGCATCTGTCTTGCAGAAATACTCCAGTTTTTACTGTCCTTGCAGAAAAACTCCAGTTTGTATTGCACCTTGGAAGTTATAAAACCATGAAGTGTTGGTTGATATTGTATAATCTTAGGAAAAATGTAGGTTTCATTCATGATATAATTCTTAATATTAACAACTTAGGACTTTTAACTCCCAGTATTTACTGCTTTCTACATCATGATGTTATATTTTACCGACACCACTGGCAGTATCCAGAGGAACCAGTGGTGACTTTCTTGGTATTTTCCACCACATTTCTTTGTCCTTTAATTCTATAAATGTTTTTAGATCTAATAGTGACATCTAGCATGCCCTCTGGTGGTATATCTTTTGTTTTTAAAAAGCTTGTGCAATAATGAATCATTTTATATGATCTAACAATTTCTTTGGGTTCCCTCCAAGTCTTTACTTGTGTCGTAACATCATTTTAATTACTACAGTTTATATTCACTTATAGGCCTAACTGCAGAAGTGTTATTATCCATTCTTCTACATTCACTTTAAGTATGATCAATGTTGTGATAACAGTAAATTACCATTAGCTGTATATTCTTGGAAATTTTGTTTTAACCATTTTAGGCATTGTAAATCAGATAAGAAATGAGAAATAAAAGATTAACAGTTCCCACTGTCTGCAAAGTATAAAAAGCACATCAAACTGTTCTTAAAAACAGACTTCCCTAAGACTTTATATTTGTGAAGTACATACACACACACTTTTCAAATTAGCATCCACCTCTTGCAATATCTGTACTTTACACTATTTGTGAAATGATTTCTAACTGGCCTGTATCAAAGCTGAACATTTTCTACAACCTCAAGCACAGAAGTTTTATTTTTCTGGTTTTGGTACACTTCCAAGTTCACGTTCACCTTGGCCATCAGAAAAAGACTTCTGCATGACTTAACCATAATCCACTTGGTTGTCCACATGTGATAAAAAAAATCAGCTGATTTAACCAGTGTGAATGTAAAGAGGGAGAAAGGGTTGTTGTTTCAGGAGAGAGGAAAGCTCTTTTAAAACAGTTTACTCCAAATGCTTTGTATAAAATTGTAACAAGACAAGAAATGTAAGAGAGAGGCAGAGCCACCAAATGAAAAAAGAACAGTCTCTATGTGCAGATGTTGAACCAGTAAAAGACAACACTGAGCTGCATGCTAAATACATACTGCTTTGGTCATGTACCTGATCACGTGACAGCAATTCTTCTTTGGTCAGGTTAACTGAACATGTGACAGCAATTCTTCTTTGGTCAGGTTAACTGAACATGTGACAGCAATTCTTCTTTGGTCAGGTTACCTGACCACGTGACAGCAATTCTTCTTTGGTCAGGTTACCTGACCACGTGACAGCAATTCTTTTTTAGTCAGGTTACCTGACCACGTGACAGCAATTCTTCTTTGGTCAGGTTACCTGACCACGTGACAGCAATTCTTCTTTGGTCAGGTTACCTGACCACGTGACAGCAATTCTTCTTTGGTCAGGTTACTTGGCCACGTGACAGCAATTCTTCTCTGGTTAGGTTACCTGACCATGTGACAGCAGTTTTGCTTAGATCACATTATTTCAGTTTTGCAAAGGTACACTTTGCACTTACGAGTAAACCACTAGGAGTAAAAAACCCCTACATTCACGATGTACTTCAAAGCTTGAGTCTTCACTGAGTAGACCCTCCATAAGGATGCCCAACTTGAGGAAACATTCTGATTCTCCACTCCAACCTTCCTCTCACAAAGTTATACAGAATGGAACAAAAATCAGGATAAAGCATACCTGACCAGAGAAGTGAATCTATATTTCAAACTATCATTACAAATAATCTATGTATCATTACAGGATTATACAAAAGATAAGTCATCATATCAAGAAACAGTACTTAAGGATTTATAAACAAAACTACAAGTTGTGTATTCCAGAAAAGAAGGATATTAAACATGATTACAAGTTGTGTATTCCAGAATGGAAAGACATTAAACATGATTACAAGTTATGTATTCCAGAAAGTAAGAATCTTAAGCAAGATTACAAGTTATGTATTCCAGAAAGTAAAAATCTTAAGCAAGATTACAAGTTGTGTATTCCAGAAAAGAAGGATACTAAACATGATTACAAGTTGTGAATTCCAAAAAGGAAGGGCATTAAACATGATTACAAATTATGTATTCCAGAAAGAAGGACATTAAACATGATTACAAGTTGTGTATTCCAGAATGGAAAGGTATTAAACACAATTACAAGTTGTGTATTCCAGAAAGTAAGGATCTTAAGCAAAATTACAAGATGTGTATTCCAGAAAGGAAAGACATTAAACACAATTACAAGTTGTGTGTTCCAGAAAGGAAAGATATTAAACAAGGTAACAAGTTGTGTATTCCTGAAATGAAGAATATTAAACAAGATTACAAGTTTATTTCAGAAAGGGAAGATCTTAAAAAGGATGGCAATTTATAATTTTAAGTAATAACAGACTTAAATAAGATTCAATCAGTAACATACAGCACTAAATTATGCATTACAGTTTTCATAGGTTTTTTTTCTTGTCTTCTAGAGGAACGTTTGTCAAGAAGTATGTGATTATCAGTTTTGTTTAATCTAGTGGGCAACCCACTTAATGAAACTACAACAGAAGCATCTAGAAACATAGAGCACCTTTCTGAACATCCCTAGAAGAAGAAGACTAATTTTTTTATCAGCTCTCTATAACATTATAATTCACCATTCTTTATTGTTTTCTTACCCAGTTAATTAACCTCCTTTCCGTGATCTACCCAAAAAATATTTGCACGAGTTAATTTGGGGAAACTATTTTTGCCAAATTTTTAATTACTTGCCCAAATTTATTTGCATGTTATCATGCATTATAACCTGACACGGAAAGGGTTAAATAAGGGTATCATACTCAATTTTAGAAACAATTGTGACAAGGATATTCTAGGAAATATAAGCATTTTACAATATTGATATATTTTTATGTATATCAGAATAAACAAAAAATCTATGATATGTTGTAAACTCTTGCCATAATGCTATCGTGACTGATGATATGTCCAATAATTCAGTTCTTCAATAACAGATGTCAGTTTGACAACTACCCCAAACCAGTTTAGTTTTCTGTCCAACAGCAATTATCAGGTCCTTCTAACTGGCTATTAGGTAATCTGTAAGCATAACATTAAAAGTGAAGAAATACAATGTAATCAACCAGGTAACAACAGTGCACAACTAAATCTTGCAATGTTCCTAGCTTCTTTGATATTCATCATGACAAATACTTAGATCAAAAAGCTCTCAGATAATAGCTAAACAGTTATTTTAACCTGCTTATCTAAATGTGCTATTCCATACTATTATTTAAAAATAAGGAAAAATTATTCCTCCTGTTTGTTTTATGTAAAGAAACACACAAAGACTGAGTGGTTTCTCAAACACCTTTTAACTTAGTGTAAACCTATCTTACCTAAAAGTTCTCTGGCCCTATCACAGTTCCATCCTAAACCACTGAGTGGCCCTTCCACCATCTTCATGTACAACTGAAGCAATTCAACACCAGTGTGTTGTAGGGTTGAGGTATTTTGTACGATGGTGTCTTCGTTGTTGTTCCACAGCTTGGTGTAGTACACATACCAGTAGCACATCTCAGCTCCGTACATCAGGGCTAACATGTGAGTGTCACTAAAGATACCTAAAGAAGAAGTAAAATTTTCTAGATCAATATCACGGCAGTGTACACAAAGTATCACATTTCTAAAGATTACTTAATGATAAGATACGAACAGCTTGCATTGTAAGTAGCACAAAACAAAGTGTTTGGCTGAGAACTTGATGAGTATTAATCCAGAATTTTATTTATACTGTGATGAAAAAAAGCTAATATTTGTAATGTTAAACAAGTTATTTTAACATACTCTTCCAACACTAGACAAAACACTTTTTCCAAGATTGAAAAATGCCCAGAACTATATATTTGTACTGTGAACGAAAGACAATACGTACTCTTCCTGTATTAGTGTAGGGAAGCACATTATGCTAGTAGACTTGTATGTATAAGACACAAAATGTTTAGATTTGTATTATACCTGAAGAAGACAGACAATGCTCTTTGAAACATGTAGTATGTATTAAAATATTTCATTATGCTTACAAATCGATGTGTCTTACATATATACATGTATTCTTCCTGTACTAAAGAATGCCCATAACTGTACCCTTACACTGTACACAAAATGTACTCTTTCCAAGTTGAAGACTGCTCAGAACTGTATATTTGAACAAGTTCCAAGAGCTTATTTTTTGTTTTTTAATAAACGATCAAAGAAATGTTCTCTAATCTGATTGGATAATCTCTAGATTAAGCTTACTTTAAATAACTTGGACTTGGAAAGTTAACATTTTCCTAAAGTGAAAATGTATTTCTGATAAATACTTACCTTCTTCTCACAAAATGCTTTCTTGATTTATACTGCCCACCACAAGCTTTCCACCTCCCATTTCTGCATATCTACATGTAAATGAATGTGCAGCAGCTCTCCACCAATAGGAACACAACACAACTCCTATCGTTACCAGTGCCATCTCCATATTTGTACTCGTTAATCACTTCGAGACTGATCAGAAGACCTACACCACATATCACCAGAAGTGGGGAGGTTGGGTGGAAAATGTGAGTGGAGGTAAGTATCTATCAGAAATGCATTTTCAGTTTAAGAAAATGTATTTCCAATAATACTTACCTCCTTTGACACTTTAGCTATTCCTTGACATTGGCTTTGCTATCTAAGCATTGGTCTCGATTTCTCCAGTCTTTTATACCCCACTTGAATGCCTTTGGCAATATCTAATTTGCAAAATTCTCCACCAACATCAATACGCCCTCGATTCAAGTACGGTACATAAGCACCTCATTCAGATAATGTAATCACTTTTTTGAGACTTAAACCATTCCCAACACTAATACCAGCTCTTAGAGGGGAGGAAGGACAGGAAATTGTCAACCAAGGTAAGTATTATTGAAAATACATTTAAAATTTAGGAAAATGTTAACTTCCAAAACATACTTACCATTCTCTGACACTTTAGCTAGAATCCCACATTGAGAAAGTGGATGGACCGGTGAGGCCATTATCCATACAGAACCTGGGTGTACACAAATAATAGTGGTACACAAGTGGTGAAAACACCCTACATCCAGAACAGGTATGCTCTTCATGCAGAACTGAATATCGATATCAAAGGTGGAATAGTACATAAATAATTAATATAGGCCAGTCCCAACCAGATAGCCGAGATTCCACAACTCAGTGTTGGAATTAAGAGGTCTTGGTTCCTATATCCCATGTTGGTGGCTAGGGCAATTGGACCACAATGTGATATCTAGATATATTTTGTATTGGATACAAACCTGTAGCCACAGAGTGATGCATTCCAAACCACTGGAATTATCAAAAGAAAGGAAGCAACACTGAAGTGGGAAAACTTTCTCTTCCACCTAAAGAAGATTGAAAGGCAACATCCCAGGATTGGAATGATGGGATCATACATGCCTTACTCAACCAAAGGAACAGAACTCATCCGGTCTGAAATTATGAACATTCATCCATACTCTCCAACTGTGTGGGCAAGGAGCATTCCACTCTCCCCCAGAATTATGGAGAGGATGTGGAACACTGTGTTCAACCAAGAACTTAGGATGGGACCACTTGACATTCAGAATTATGAGGAGATAGTGGACCTCCATCAATGAACAATATACAATCCGACACTGTTCATAAAAAGAGCTAAGAACACCCAAACCTGATAGAGTATGATCAAATCTGAACCAGTATTACAAATAGGCTCCCATGTAGGCCAGTGCATCTGACCACATCTGGGAAATACATCCAGGGACTTGGGTAGGAGGGACCCCAACTTTGCCCTCTTCTCGAAGAGTGGAGAAATGCACTTAATACTCTGTAGGAAAAGCCTCTGTCTACCACCCCAGCAGAATCTGGTCAAAACAAAATATGGTGAACATGTTTGGTAAAGTGGGTGCAAACTCCTTGTGAGGCATACCCCCAGGCAACTGTAGATGTTAAACCCCAATGAGCTGGGAAGATTCTTGGTGTAGAATGTTTGGATGAAGATGCCTCAATAAAGATAAACAAAGAGGAAGATGCGGAGGTGGATTCAGATGAAAAAACTGTAGAAGAGGAAATTATGGCTAGGCCAGCCAATCTAGGCTAGCAACATCTTGCAACTATGTGACAAGTCATTACAAATTCATCCATATTAGTTGTTAACTTTGTCACAGAAATGATGTTTGTACTCTTGAGTGAAATTGACATTTAACTGTTCAGAACATAATGTTATACAATAAGTCATTTGATAAATGAAAACCTTGACTTTCTATTGGTTATAGGTAATATATAATTAAATGTAAAAGAGAACTATTAGTGAATTGTGAAAGTGAGGATGTGACAGGTAGGTGTGGCAGGAGGGATCTGATTTTCTAATCAATAGCACTGTAACCAAATAAAATTGAAGACTATAAAAATTATGGTTTGTCTGAGCAATGATGATTTTATAAAGTAATTTATATTTAATATCATACTTTTTCGAGGAGTGGTGGATAAAATAGGGAAGATGACATGCTAAAAGAAAATGTGTCATGTGAGTCACACTAGGGGAAATTCACAATTTTTTAAAATATTGCCTTATAAAATTAATAATTTATATACAATTAAAATATGGATTATTATCTACGATTTTATGCTATACTACTTGGTATAACATAAACAAAAAGTAATTTCATAAAATTTTGAATGTAAGACACTAAACCTTGTGCAGTAAAGGGTACCTGTGGCAATAGGGTTAAAGATTAACCAAAATGCTGAATTCATTGGTTAAAAATACCCTGGAAAGTATTAGTATGTGTTTAATATTTCATTGCTTATCTGAGAAATTTACCTTTTCATTATGGTGGTACAAACCTGCAAAGTTACATGCAATTAATATTACACTTTTCAAGGCTAAAAAAAAAGGTTACATAGAGTGATCAAGAGTTAAGTATAAAAGAACTGAGATAGTGAAATATATTACCATGTTGTAGAAGCTTCAGCGTATCCTGTTCATCTTTGGAATCAACCCTGATCACATCTCTAGTGGACAACATGATCTTCAAGTATTCCACCCCCCTAGAGAGGAACTGAAACCGTTACTGTTCATGGGGGATCTCTTGCTGTTCTAAACTTATCATTAGTACTTTACTCCCAAATGTCTTGGTTTTGTGCTAAATATTAATGTACAGTTATATGGACACAGGAAAATTCTGAGAGCCATCTATTTAAGTAAAAAACTTTTTGTTTCACGATAATCACAAAACAAAAATGTAAAAGTTGAGACATTCGTGTCTTATGAAAACTGATTATTAAGAACTTCTGATCAAAAGAATAACTATTATTTACAACTAAAATTATTACATAGAGTTTAACCAAGACACACAACTTGGAACTGAAAGTATTCTATTTATAATACATAAAACACACTGAGACACACTTATGTAATCTTGTTTAACTCTCTCTCTCTACAGGCTCGGTAAGTTTGTGACCCCAAATTGACCTTTATAGTTTCCATACTATAACTTTTAATATGTTTTGTGTATCTTCACAAACTTTCAGTAATCATTAAGAGTCAATTGTAGACAAAAAAAATCAGAGTATTAATGAAGCATTTTCACTAAAAATTTCTCCATGAATATATATACGGAGTCAAAGTGTTGACTGCTCCAAGTGCAAAGCGATTTTCATGTTAAGAATAAAAATACTTTTCTTCATCTGAAAAACCTTAATTCTTATTTACGTAATCTCTAAAACTTCCTTAATAAACTTCAAAGATTTTTTTTCCAGTAAAACTTTATACTTTATCTCTTATTTTCCTTACCCTAACTCTAAACAAGATTGGTCAAACTGATTTTCTAGTTTATGGCTCTTAACAAAATAAGATTGAGGGCTACAAACATTATGCTTTGCCTGATTAATGGCAACATTACAATGAGTAATTTAGTACTTTTTGGAGGAGTGTTAAATAAATTAGAGAAAAGGTGATACCTAGAGAGCAAATGTCACAATTCTCATACTAGGGCAAATTGAGGATTTTTTAATATTGCCTTATAAAATTATGAACTTAAAACTTTTATTAAAATTTGGGTTAGCTATGTTTTGATACCAAATTTATTCATATACCATGATAACAAAGTACTTTCATTAAATTTTGAATGTAGCTCACTAATACCTTGTGACATTCACAGAAAAAGATGCCTGTAGCGAGAGTGTTAATTAGTATTAGTTTTTATTTGATTATTTTAAAAAGGTCAAAAGTTAATGACTCCTTCAATATTTCCCAATGTCTGTTGCTATACTCTGTTTTGGAAATGTCTTCCTTAGTTAGCACCACAGGATCAAGAAAGTAGGATTAACTGTAAATGTTCAGTAAAGAGAGTCTTGATTTTAACTGAGACAATTTTCCTGAACAATATCTTTATGAAGTTTTAGTTTATCAGAGATAAGAATGATATGGCCATTTCAAATATGTAACTTACTAGATGTATTCTCCATATTTACCTTAAAAAATTCATCCTGGTGATTCTTAATCCATGTCTCGTTTCGAGTTCGTATGTTACAGTACATGTATAGTAAAGCACCCTTCCTCCAGTGAAGACATTCAACTAATTCTATTCCAACAACTTCTTCTACCTGTAAAAATTTAGTTCCTACAATTGTAAAATGTTTAATCAAAATAAAACCAAAAAATATATTACATTTTCTTGTGTCCTAGCAGATCTCTAAATTAAAACAGGGTCTGTAGACACTTGTGGTTACTGAAGTTTTACAGACTTATTAAACTTAACAAAATAAATGCTGGAGAAACCTTATGAAGTTGTACACATGTTCCTGGAATTAGTCAACCTTTCAGAACCACTTTCAATATTACAGTAATCTTGTCTTTATACTCCTACTGGAATTAGTTAGTATTTCAAACCACTTTCAATGTTACAGTAATAACTTGTATTTATCCTCCTATTGGAAGTAGTTAACATTTCAGAACCACTTTCAATATTACAGTAATCTTGTCTTTATACTCCTACTGGAATTAGTTAGTATTTCAAACCACTTTCAATGTTACAGTAATAACTTGTATTTATCCTCCTATTGGAAGTAGTTAACATTTCAGAACCACTTTCAATATTACAGTAATCTCATCTTTATTCTCCTACTGGAATTAATCAACATTTCAGAACCTGTGTCTGAGAAGAAAAATGTAGGACAGAACCAGCCATGTGGTGTACAGTGATGGTAACACTGCTCAAGGTCAGAGCAACTCCAGTCATCATCATGTCAGCATTTAAAGAAAATAAGATAACTTTGAAAGAGGAGATTTCAGAGATGTGGATACAAGAATAGAACTCAATAAAATCCATGAAACTAAATTTGTAGTAATTAATAATATTACCAATATTTTTATTATTTTGTTTTAGTAAATCTGATATGTCCATTTGGTCATTTTCATATTAATGAAATTGAGATTAAATATCAAAACCCAAATTCTGGGAGAATGATAATGGGGAATATTCCTGTCATAAAAACCATATCACAGACTCAGAAACAGGTGTCCCAAAATTTTGTAACTTGATTAAGAGAAGAAGTCTATTTAATGAAAGAAAAGATGATAATTTGTAACAGAAACTTTAACTAAAATCAATTTAAAACATTTGATTTTCTCAAAAAAAAGAAAGTAAGTAATTTCAAGTTGAATGTTAAAAGTTGAAAACAATACATCCAAAAATTCCGTAATCCTAATGGAAAAAAGAGTAAGACTAAACATTGCAGTGCCATGGAAAAGAATAAGCTTTTGTTATATAATAAAATCTCAAAGGGAGTGCTGCACATGAAGAGGTATATCCAAATGCTGATTGCATCACAGACTCTCACAATACACCTTATTAGGAGTAGAGGTGGCAGTTCTATTCAATGGCTAAGCAAATGCACAAAACGTTTTCTGCAGGAGCACGAGATATTAACTTTCTGTTCTGTGGAGAGGTGAGTAGTGTTTCTGAAGTAGTAATCTGTGTTAAGAGAGATGATGGTGACTACTGATCGTGGTAACATGGTTTTATTCATATAAATAATTCTTACGGCCAGTGTACAAACTACAGTTGAGAAACTATATTACCTTTAAGGCCATTTAATGCTCAAAAATTTGCAAAACAAAAACTATCAATTACTTTTGTAAACCAAGAAAAAGGATTTCATTGTACAAACGAGGTTTGAAAAACAACTTATAAATAAACAAGAAACTGTGTAATAGCTAATTAAGATGAGATAACTGTTAATATTGTTCTTCATCTCTGTCAAATAATTATAACCTGAACCCAAAGGATTCTTTTTGCACACGGCAATCAGTAAGTTAGATATATTATAGCTCTGTATCTTGTCTTCTCAAATATAAACTATTTTAAGTGCTCTACAAGTAAACAACAACTCATCAGCATGAGTTACTTATGCTATAATTAATTTCCCATTAATGAACTTACATCAGAATTCACAATTTCTATACAGAATTGCTCCACTTCAATAAATGCATCTAAAGAAAATAAATAATAAAACTGTGTAAGGGCCATATGCTTATAAATTTCTAAGAAAATCCCATAATAAACATTGTTTCACTAGGATCTTATTTTACAATAATGCATCCATCTTTACGTACACCAAAAAAAACTGACAAGATCTTTGCTACACTTATTTAAATACATGAACAAGATCTGTTCTAACACACATTCAACATTGCTCTGTAGAAGTATTTTATTTGAGCAAAATGTAATTTTTCTAGTTTTTTGGCATAGTAATTTGTTTGTACAAAAACCACATAAAACAAGATTAAAATAGCAGCTAAAATAAGATTCTTGGTGATATTTAATGTTCAACTCTTTGTTTAATACTAGTTTCAGTGAAAGTATTGGTTACAATATTTAATGTGTGTATATATTTATTTATTAATTTATGTGTCATATATTTAATTTAATTGTTATATATTATTTATTCTAGAGATTGTTTTGTATTGTTAGATAAATAGATAGATTTAGGACTAACCTAAATCTCCTCAGCTGCCCAAACCTAATGAGATATCAGTGGGATTAAGTTTTTTTTTAATATTTCTAACAATAAAAGTACAAAACCAATGAATTAATGTTAATGAATCAATATCACTGAATACTCCTAATTAATATGGTATATTACATTAACTATAACAAATTAGCTGCATTATTTAGAAATTGGGATTCTGATCTATGTAGATAGCTAGCTTACTTTGATCAAAACAAAGGGTTTGATGCCTGTAAAAGCACAAAGAGGTCAATGAAGGTATAAAATCTAAAGATACATAAACCAATCAGCTGTCTAGAACCTTTATTGTGGACCTGCACAGATATACTTGTGTGTGATGAGGCATGCAAAATCCAAAAAATCATACACCTGATCCATTAATAAATGTACCACATCAGTCCATTGTATAATTTCTGACACAATCTTTTATATATTTCCAAATACTATGAGGGGGCAGCACTTTGGACATGGCCTAGGGCCACACAGTGCTAAGACTGGCAATATTTACAATCATTTGTAGCCACCCCCCTGTATATCTATATCTGTGGTCTCAGAAAAAGATCAAACAATCCTCTACTAATACCAGTTCATTTCAGAAGGGCGGGTAGGTAAACAAAACTGGAATTAATATTTTACTGATGAATAGATGCTTCACTAAATCAACTTACTGGCCCAGTTTAATATGTGCAAAGTAAATTATCAAACTGTCACAAAGTGTATTTGTTCAGTACGTCGTTCAAATGAAGACATTTTATAAAAAGAAAAGTTATCTTACAACTGTCAAATATGCTATAGTCCAGATAAAGAACATACATTTATTCTACACTCTATCAGTTATGCTATAGTCCACTTAAAAAACACCCACTTATTCTACACTCTGTCCGTTATACTATAGTCCACTTAAAAAACACCCACTTATTCTACACTCTGTCCGTTATACTATGGTCCACTTAAAAAACACCCATTTATTCTACACTCTGTCAGTTATCCTATAGCCACTTAAAAAATACCCATTTATTCTACACTCTGTCCGTTATACTATAGTCCACTTAAAAAACACCCATTTATTCTACAC